CCCCCCCCCCCCCCCCCCCCCCCCCTCCTTCATTGGCACTCATTGCTCTATCCAATCATTGTACGACATCCCAATCCACCCCCTTCGGGGCCAGCGTCCTCGCTGACACACCGCCTCATATCCACCCCCTTCGAAGCTGAGCTCCCTCGCTGGCACATCGCCCCGTGTATAGCTTTGATACCATTTGTAACAGCTTAAGCCTACCATAGTAGATATTATCCTATTTCAGTTTTTCCTTCCAAGTTTCCTCTCAAGGCTTTTACACGGCGTCTAACAGGGAGATGTATAATAACTCTAAGAAACATCATCCCAAATTGAGTATAATATGCAATCAATAGATTAACAGTCGTCAAACATCAAGAACAACAACATTAAAACTGAACATATAAGCAACAGAGATCATGAACATTACCACATTGGAGGCAGTCCCTCCAGGGCAACACGAAAGCAAGATCAAACCAACCGAAAGCGGCGTTGAAAGCCCAAAAAACTTGCCAATAAGAGCTCCGGCAGCCGGCATAATCGTGTACTGAGCTACACATCCAAACAATATCTAAAACAAAAAAACAGAATCATTACAAAAATTACCAGCAGTCCACAATTTAATCCCATCAAATCAAGAACCAAAATCCCAAAACCCCACAAAATGCACTCATAAACAAAGCAAGAACCCAAGAACTCACAGAAAGTGGCCTCTGCATGAACAAATTAACCAAATCCTTCAGCTCCAGAGTGAGACCCATAGCCAACATAATCAATCCAAGAGCCAAGCTATACGAAGTGGGTCCTCTCTCCACAAACCACGAGAAGGTCGACGGTTTCAGGCAAGCAACGACGCCGCCGACCGTCACATACAGAGGGTACAGACTCGCCGCCGTCGAAAGAAAATCATCCAAACCGGAGGGTTTTGCCGGAGGCAGGGGAGATGGGTATTCGTTATTTCGTTGAACTGATCGGACGGCAAGCAATCTGGGGAGCTTCGGCGGCAAGAGACAGGGAATTTTGGGTCTGTGAAGGCGGAGATTACGGCGGTGGTGTAGAGGAGAAATGAAGGGGGTAAATTGCAGAGAAATCGAAGCCATTGTGCAGAATTCGGCGGCTCCGATTGCGAAGAAAAGAATTGGAATTGAAAGAAATTATGGGATTTGGGTGAAATACATACGCGAACGAATCAATGGTTTTCTGTGGTGCTAACTACGAGATTTATTTATTTATTATTTATTTATTTATTTTTATCCTTTGGCTTACGTGTCACAACACGTGGAATCTAAAATGTGCCGATTATATTAATTTATAATTAGACAATAATTTTCATACAATTTCATGACATCAATCATGTTACTTATATTTTTAAAGCTCATGTGCTTCTTTTTAATAAAATGTTAAATATTATGAACAATTAACGCGTAATCTAGTATAATTTTCATTATAGTATAAATACTTGTCTGTCTCTTGGTGTAGCACTAGAAACGTTCTGGAAACGTTCTGTTGTTAGATGAACACTACTCTGCCCACTTTAAACATAAGCTCTCATGGTTTTGCTTTGGGCTTCCCAAAAGACCTTATACCAATGAAGATACTATTTTTTTATTATAAACTCATGATCATTTCTTAAATTAGCGGATGTGAGACTTTCATCCAAAAAGATAAAATATTAGTAAATATGAGAACTTTTGCCATCAACTCAACATGGCATGGTATTATGAATGAAGACAGGGGCTAATGGGAGCATTGATTATCACAAGCCCAATAACCAATTTCATTTGTTGTTCATAAGTTGTATAGAATATTTTAGAAAGATATCGAGATATTTTATGAATAAATATCTAAATTTTTGGAAATAAATATATCTAGAAAGAAAGATGTTGAGATATTTTAAGAAAAAATGATAAAATGTGTGGTATATATTATTGTCCTCCCTAAAAATATCTTCCAATGTTCAATATAATTGATGTTAATAAAGAATTGTGTTCAATATAATTCATGCATCTATCCTCGACTAGAAGATTAAAGCTTGACAAATAGACTACGAGATGAATCGTTGGATTGGTCATCGTGGTTGCACATGAATTGATCTATATAGGCACGAATTAACTCTTGGAACGAGGCAATGGTCCTTGAACTAGGTTTGGGCAAGCTCATGAAGGGTTAGGGAGAGGCTAAACATCTAGTACAAGGACTGCATGGAGTTTCATCCATGACCCGTAAGGTCTTTGCATGTTGGATCAGATCGGTTGACTTGTCATATACCTTCACGGTGAGAATTTTGAATTTGGTGGATATTGGTGTCGTGCAATCAAGCTAGCTAGAAGTCTCGTGCATGCAACGTTATGAAGCTACGAATTGAAAGGATCACACCTCCCTCAAGCCAATGATTAGAGGCGTCGGGGGTGTAACATGTTGAGATATCATCACTATCCCAATAATGGTACGATCCCATTGTATATTTATTGTAGTAGAGATTTTAAAAAGATACCTATAGATTTAGATTTGTTAGGTTAGATTGCTTAGGCTCTAGTATAAATACCCTTCACCCCCTACGTTTTCATTCAAGAAATCTAAAGCAATACAAACCCACCTAGGTTTCATTCAAGAAATCTAAAGCAATACAAAAGTAGTAGTTTCTACAAAGTGTTTTGTAAATCTTTCTCGATTGGTGTTAATAAAGAGTGCGAGTGTTTCCCACAGAGAGTTGTGTTCAACAATTTGGTATCAAAGCGAGGTTAGTGTAGGTTATCTGATCTCTTGGAATTCTTAGTATGCTCTGTGATTGCAGCTTTATCTGATCTTCCACATCAGAAACGATTTCTTGAGATTAGTAGTAAGTGAGTTTCTTTTGTGTCGTGAGTAGTCTGTGATTCTGCAAGTCTTGTGTCGAAAGAGCTTGTTTGGTATTACTTAGGTATGGCCAACACGATGGGGTGATTTCCAAATCGTTTGAGGAATTAAGAAACTCAACAACAACTACAACACGTGGGCAACATGCATGATGTCCTATTTACAAGGACAGGATCTTTGGGAGATCGTTAGTGGGTGTGAAACTATGCCGCCAGAGGGAGGATTCTAACGGCGTCTTGCGCAAATGGAGAATCAAAGCAGGCAAAGCAATGTTTGCCTTGAAGACCATAATCGGAGAAGAGATGTTATAACATATTTGGGATGACAAGACACCGAAAGAAGAATGTGACACGTTCGTAATGTTGTTCTCAAAGAAGAATGAAACAAGGCTACAACTTCTGAAGAATGAGTTGTTGTCAATTTCACAACGTGACATGACGATTGCTCAGTACTTCCACAAGGTCAAGTCGATCTGTCGGGAGATTACTGAACTAGACCCGAAGTCCGCCATTGTAGAATCTCGAATGAAGAGGATTATAATCCATGGATTGCAACCGAAATATAGAAGCTTTATTATTGCTGTACAAGGATGACCCACACACCCATCACTTGTAGAGTTCGAAAATTTGTTAGCCAACCAAGAAACGATGGCTAAACAAATGGGAGACATCACATTGAAGGGTGAAGAAGAAGCACTCTACACAAGTAAAAGTCGGAGCAATAATAGGCCATCTACCAAACGTGGATACAATAGTGACAAAAGAAGAAGCCACCAAGGAACTGCACAACCTGAGAGAGCTCAGAAGAACGACAACAAGAGTTTCCAAGAAAAGAGATTTGGAGGAATTTGCTATAATTGCAGGAAAAAGGGCCACATGTCTATAGATTGTTGGTCCAGGAAAAAGTCTGTTGAAAGCAATGTGACAATATCCAAAAAGAAGATAGAGAATGAATGGGATGCAGAGGTATTATGTCCCATAGTAGAAGACGAGCGAGCACTCATGGCAATGATGGAAGAGCATATCAATTACAAGGATGACTGGATCATTGATTCAGGATGCTTAAACAACATGATTGACGATCAAAGCAGTGCAATGGAAGATGGGTGGCCCTCAGAGAAGAAAGTATTACTAGGCTTGGACAACACTGAAAAAATTCCTCCACAAAAGACGAGGGAGCAAACTGTACACACTTGCTTAAATGCTAATGTGCTTGGAGATTTGAGTGACACTGATGTTGATGAGCAAAAAGTGACTTAACCAAGCAAACCTGGTGAGAAAGAAATGGCACCTCAACAACTTAGACATTCAAAGATAATCTTAAAGTTAAAATTAAGAGTATGCCAATGCAGCTATTATAGAAGACGGAGTTAATGAGCCAGAGACATGTGAAGCATCACAAAACTTGGCTTGCCAGAAAGCGATGAAGAAGAAATTATAGCCCTAAAGCAAAATCAAACTTGGGAACTAGTACCAAGACCAAAATATATCAAATCCATCTTTTGCAAGTGGATTTACAAAATAGAGTGTACCCCGGATGGATCAATCGTGAGATACAAAGCTCAGACTATAGATTCAGGGTTCTCTCAAGAATATGGACTACACTATGAGGAAACGTTTAGTCCAGTGGCAAAACGAACCTTGAGATATGTCAAAGTTACAATCAATTACAATCCTTCGTATAAAAGAAACGAAAACTACAAGCTAGCTAGATATCGTGATGCTGACTATGCAGGAGATCATGATACTCGATGATTGACTTGGTATGTGTTCAAGCTCAGTTCGAGAACAATTTCTCGGTGTAACAAAAGATAACCAACTGTATCATTGTCAACTAGAGAAACAGAGTATAGAGCAGCGGCGAGAGCAGCTCAAGAATGTACATGGCTGAAACTTCTTATAGAAGATTGGCACCAGAAAGTTGACTATTCGATACCACTTCAATGCGACAACCAATCTATGATTTGTTTAGTAGAAAATTAGATGTTTCATGGCAGAACAAAGCATGTGGAGGTGCAATGCCATTTTATTAGAGACAAAACCTTGAATGAAGAATACGGATGACCAAGTGGTAGACGTGTCTACAAAAGAGCTGAATACTTGCACACATGAGAGCTTTCACTGTGGTGCAGCGAATGAGGACTAGTGCTGAGGGGGAGTGTTGAAATATCATCACTAGCCCAATAAAGTCAAGCCCAATAATTGTACGAGTACATTGTATATTTATTTTAATAGAGATTTTAGAAAATATATCTAGATATTTTAGGAAAAAGATTTAGATTTGTTAGGTCTAGATCAATACAAATTAGTAGTTCTACTGTTTTGTAAATCTCTACTCGATTGGTGTTAATAAAGAATGCGACTGTTTTCCACCGAGAGTTGTATTCAACACAACGCCCTCGACATATTCTCAAACTTTAAATAGGTAGAGCGACATGAATGCTTTGTTGAGCCATGTCATGAAATCGAGAGCTCCAAGTGGGCCATTTTTGGTAAGCAAGCGATGCGGGATGAATCGAAGGCAAGTAATTTCCATCTAAAACTAAATAAGTGTATTAATAAAAAGTTTAAAATATATGGAGACAAAATACAAAATCTAATAATATTTTTTTATTAATTCAATCTTAAAATTAAAAATTATTAAAAGTTTAACATATATTGTAAGAGAGAGAGAGAAATGCAAGATGACAAAGTGGAGTCAGTGTGCAAGGTGACGACAGTCCATGGCGGCAGTCTTGATTTGATAACCATCAGATGTCAGTACAGAACTCTGACGAATGAATCACAGCCGTCAAATTCTGATAACCAATGCCCCAGAAAGGCCCCTCCATATTGTGAAGCAAGCAGTGTGTGGGGGTTTCACTGGGCAGCCTCTGCAACAGTGGGCGGAATATTTCTCCATAAAGACCCAAGACTGCTACCCATCATGTTCATTATCACCGCTGACATTGCTGGAGGCAATGCTACCATTGCTGAACTGAAATGTGCTGTTGCCAATACTACTCCCAATGATGAATTTTGCATCCCGACCTGAATCTCTCGTTCATATCATATCATGTTTTGGGTTTTAAAGATGGGAATGTTTATGTTTTGATTCTTACCTCGAGGGATATTGCTCTCCGTTCTCGTTCTTGAAATCCTCCGATTACCGCTATTGTGTAGCTGCAAAGTAAAATGATATAAACGTGGTTAAAATCTCACATTAGTTGGAGAGAAGAAGAAACATTTTGAATTTGGATGTAGAAAACTCTACCTAACAGACACCTTTTAAAATCATGAAAGTGATGGTAATGGATAAAGTAAACAATATCGGTTGACGGTGGACTTGGGCTATTATAAATGGTATTAGAGCTAGATATCGGGCGGTGTACCAATGAAGACATGGGCCTCTTAAGAATGGATTGTGAGATCCCACACTCGAAAGAGCAACGAAACATTTCGTATAAGAATGTGGAAACTTTTCCTTAATAGACAAGTTTTAAAACTGTGAGGCTGATGGGGATACATAACAGGCCAAAATGAACAATATCTAATAGAGGTGGACTTAGACGGTTATAAATAGTATCAGAGTTATACCGAGTAGTTTTCCACAAGGACGTTGGGCCCCTCAAGGGATGGATTGTGAGGTCTCACATTAGTTGGTGAGGGAAACTAAACATTCTAATAAGGGTGTGAAAACCTCTCTCTAACAAACATGTTTTAAAACAATAAGACTAATGGTGATACGTAACAGGTCAAAACGGAAAATATCTGATAACAGTGAACTTAGGTTACAAATAATTTACGAGGATTGAAGTTCGATTCTCATTTTACCAAATTCATGTCAAGAGGCAATGAAATAGATGCAACAACGACTTACCCAACAAAGAAACCAACGAGGTGCAACAAAAACACCGAAAGTATTATAGTTCCCAACTCTCCGGACAATATCGTTTTAACACCAATCCATGAAGATACGTCGGAACCCAACGTCGAACTAACAAGGGATGATTTAAAACGAACGAAATTCTCTGAAAATACACTAAGATAAAACAAGAACCATCATTAAATCCACCTCAAAAACAGCTTAAGAAAGCAAACAATGGTTCAACAACAAAGAAAAAAGACCTGCAAGCAAGAAGTGACGAAGTTAATACAGCAACAAGTGGCGAAAATGTCACAATTCGTTTCACAAGCTTAGGACAAGCTTTCTGCAAGTAAGAACCCAACAAAATGGGAGCTACCACCACCTAAACCAACAAACAAAAAGTCAACCAAAATCTATGTCGGATCGATTTTAGTCAAAGTTCTTTTGTTTGTTTGACCTGAAGAGTGCTGAGAGACAGCTTCAGAGCGTCCACCGGAACGAAAGCTCCGACGAGCGTTTTAGTGAGAAAGGGAGTGAGAATTACGGCTCCCAGAGTGGTGCATACAGTCATTATAATCGATAAAGGAACGTCGCCTCGAGCTATTAACGTCACCTGAAACACTATTTACTATTCAAAAAAATAATTGATTGTTGGAAGGGAGTCACACCTCGGTTAATTAAGGAAATCATCATGGGTTTGGTATGGAGCAGTAAACCAAAAAGTAATATTATGAGAGTTTATGTTTAAAGTGGACAATATTATATCATTATTGAGAGTTTTAATTACTAACCTGTTATCAGAGCTATGCTCTTAAATTAGCCATGTCAATACAATCCTCGAATGTCCAACAAAGAAGTTGGGACCTTCGAAAGTGTAAGTAAAAAAATGACTCAAATGTTGAACAAAGAATGTACTTTTTTCAAGGGCTCCAGAGAAAGGAGTCGAGCTTCAATTAAGTGGAAGCTGTTTCGAGGGCTCCATGAGCCTTGAGGGAGGCTCTATAGTATACTTTATTCAAGAGGAGGATTATTGGGAAGGAGTCACACGTAGGTTAATTAAGAGAATAATCATGGGTTTATAAGTACGGAATAAATCTCCATTGCTTCGAGGCATTTTTGGGTACATTGTTCGAGGGCTCCAAAGAAAGAAGTCGAACCTCATTTAAGTAAGGCTATTTGAGGGCTTCATATACCTCAAGGGAGGTTCTATAGTGTACTTTGTTCGAGAGGAGGATGGTAGGAGGGAATTCCACATTGATCATAGATTTATAAGTAGGGAATAGATCTCCATTGGTACGGGCCACTCAAAATATACAATAGATGATAAACTTACCACACTCGAAGCAATCCCTCCCGGACAACATCCAAGCAAGACCAATCCGACGGAAAGCGGCGGCGGAAGCCCAAGATATTTTCCGATGAGCACTCCGACCACCGGCATAATTGTAAATTGAGCTATACATACATATAATATCTGACCAAAATCAACCAACCCACAAATTCAGAATCATTCATTAATTCACCAAATATTCCAAAATTCAAAAAATGTTGCAAAAACTCACAGAAAGCGGCCTCTGCATGAACAGAGTGAACAAATCCTTGAGCTCCAGAGTGAGTCCCATGGCCAACATAACCAACCCAAGAGCCAAGCTATAAGAACCAGGCCCTCTCCGCACGAACCACGAGAACGTCGACGGTTTCAGGCACGCAACAACGCCACCAGCCGTGATATACAGAGGGAACAGCCCCGCCGCCGTGGACACGAATTTGACCACAGGGGTTGGTTTCTGCGGCGGCGTTGGAAGAGATGGAAGCTCTGTATTCCGTTGAAGTGATCGGACGGCGAGGTGTCCGGGGTGCTTTGACGGCCGGAAAAGAGGGGTGAGGGGTCTGTAATGGCGGAGCTTGCGGTGGGTGTGGAGAGATGGGGACACGAAGGGGGTGAATTGCAGAAAAATAGAAGACATTATGAAGAATTTTGTGTTGGTTTGGTCTCCAAGAAAGCAGGGATCAAATAAATAAGCACATTCCTCTCGCTATATCTGCCAACTACCCTTACAGCCTTGCCTTCGTAATTAGTACAAAATTATTGGAGGTTAACAATAGTTAACCACAAATCATTTATTAATTGAATCTTATAATTTAAAAATGCAATTGATTATGTTATAAAATTAGTAGCTTCTTTGAGTTAGTTAGNTAAGATTTTTTTTTTTTTTTTTTTTTTTTTTTTGAGCTGATCGAATCGTTCCAGTTGTAAACTGGGTTGGTTCCTAGATTTAGGATTCAATTTACATATATATATATTTTTAAAATTAATTAAAAATTATTTTAAAATTTTAGAGGATAAATAATAAAAAAATCAAAATAAAATTAATATATATATACATACAAATAATGGTGGGGCAATCAAAATAATATTTTTTTAATTTAACTCAGAGGAACCGTAAGTTATAGAGAGTAAGAAAATTCATAAAAGAACGTGAAAATCGTTCTTATTAAACGCGTTTTAAAATCACAAGTTCATGATGATACGTAACGGGTCAAAGCGAACAATATTTACTCATAAGGTCAAAACGGATAATATCTACTAATGATTAATGGTGTGTATCTGTTATCGGGCCTTTCATTTGGTTAAATCTATTTTAACTTAAATAAGTTTATAATCGGAATGTTTTTTTTAGATCATTGAGTTTTTTTTTTTTTTTTTTTTTTTTTTAATAATAAATTTCAAATGATGAAGTGGGATTTAAGCTCCCGTGATGGGGGTGAGTGTTTGGGAACGTGGATAACGTTATTGTCGTTTTCTGGTTTTATTTTTATTTTCAAAAACTTCTCCACCGTACACGTATTTTCTAATATTTTTTTTAATAAAAAAATGTGTTTAAATTTTGTACCAAACACCTTACCAACCCCCTCTTCTCACGTGATCCACTTGCTTTTATTCGTTCTAATATTTGGATTTGGGTAACATAGTTTTCAATTTATTTATTTATTTATTTTTATTTTTTTTGTAGTTTTTTAATTGGTTAAATGTTTTAATTAAATTTTATTTGGATGGTCTGATAAAAATTCATAATTTATATAAAATACCTCACCAACCCATTCCCCAAATGATCCACTTCGTTTTATTTTAAATTTTAAATTACGTTCGATGTTTGATGTTTGGTAGCCAGCTTAATATTGGAACGTGTACGAGTTAGGTGGAATGAAATTGATTGATGCATGAATACCATATTTACATATTGTTTTTTATGTCATGTTATGTTAGTCAGAGTGTGTCACTTCATGTTTTGTTGATTGTATTTGTATTATGTTTATGCTTTGTGAGACATCATGATGTCTGATAAACATGAATGAATACCATGAATTTATGTCATTACATATATGATGAAAGTCTTATGTACATCATCTCATTGAACCGTGATTAGCTTTCCAATTTTGTTATATACGAACAAGGATACTACATTATTATTCGTGTTTCTTTCTTTTTTAATGGTTTTCGACGGTGTGAACACTTACTAGTCCATAGTCAAGTTTAAGAGTATGTTAACGAGCTTGCTTAGTGTGCGTAAACTGTGTGTAAACATATACTCTGAATCCAACTCTACTGAAAAAGAATAGTAGAGCTCAAGGAACAATCACACAAAGTAGGTCCCACAAGTCACAAAACATGTTGAATGTAGTTACATTTTCTGATTTTAATAGTGCCATACTATTTTTAAATACTCATCCTATATTTAACATTTTTACTCATTAAAATCAAGAGAAGGTGTCGTATTCAAAGTATTGAACACATGGTTTTAATCCTATAAACCAATATTTAATTGATTTTGAATGAACAAAATCATGTGGGAGAGAAATCTTAAACCAAACTAAAAAACTAACTCTCAAGTATACCTTTAATAATAGATTTAATAATAGAGAAGTTATAATATGTTATTCAGTCGGTCGTTCATACATACAGTGATTGAGTTGAAGAAATCTTTTGAATCAACCAAAAGTTTGTGATTCAAACCATCTGAATAGAGTTCACTATTCAATCCAATTCTAACTCATTTTTTTGGTTAGGTTGAGCTGTCAATTATTTTTTAAAAATATTTTAAAAAAAAGTATATTTGTACACATTACTCATTACATTAATCACTAAAATCTAAAAAACTTAACTATCAAACATTCACAAATGCAAAAGTTTAGTAACAAAAATTATTTAATTTTCATAATAATTTAAGAGTAGGATAGAGTTAAGATAGTTTGGATCGTAAGCCTATTTTCAAGTTGGTCGGATTGATTAAATAAAATTGCTAATCGACCCATATTTTTAGTATTAAAAAAATTAACCCAATTTTAAAAAAAAAATCATTAAGAATCATATTAATACCCATAATTATCTTATTTGGTTATTTGGGAGGAATGCTTAACTTGGCCCAAGGAAGACTTGGAAGGTGACAATTGAGAAAGTAATAAAGATAAAACCAATCTGCTAATCCCACATCGGTTGTGCCCATACCACAGTAATCGGAAGTGTCTATAAAAGCAGCGGTGGCATTCTTAACAAATCATACCTTTCTCGGCCTTTTGGCTAAGATCAAGTGTAGTATCTGTTCTTATCAGTTTAATATCTGATACGTGGGCCATCGGCTCACATGATATTAAATTAATTTTTTAATGGGGGAGAGCCCGTTTACAGCAGCTTGCTGCTGGGACTCTCGAGTGTCGCCCAAGTCTTGCACTACTGCCTGGGCCTGGCGCACCCCTCCAATTACAGTTTTAAAGTTTATTGATTTTATTTATTCAGTAATTATTATTATCTCTGTTTTCTAATATTACAAAATTTGATTGTCCTAGAATAATATAGACAGACTTTAATTTTACATAAATAATTAATGGAGACATTTCCTAGACTTGAATAATAAATTCAGTATATTCTTATATATAAAAAAATATATAAATAGGTCTAAATTACCCCTATTATGAATATATTACAAAAATATATAAGATCCTAAGAGTGTAATTACTTAATTAAAGTTAATTATTAGATTAAAGTTAGATCTAATTATTACGAAAATTGATACACTATTAATTACATAAATAATTAAAGTTAATTAAAGAGTATAATTAATTAATTAATTTAATTTAATTAAAGAGTGTTATTAATTAATTTTATTAATTTTTAAATTTGTTAATGGTTTGAACATGAATAAATCTAATTTTCTCGAGCTATAAATTTTTTTGAATTTAGTAAGTTTTTTTTTATTCAAAATTATGTTTTTAATAAAATTAAAATATTAATTGGTAAAAAAAACATTTATTTCTTTATTTTTAAACATTTAATTAAAATTTAAAACTTAATCTCATAAAATAACGTTAAAAATTATTTAAAAGTAGTTAGAAAATAAATAAATAATGTATAATGTATAATGTATAATGTATATATTTTAAAATTAAAATAATTTAAGGGCCAAACCAATCAAAACTATAAAAATTTCATTTATTTGAACTCACGATACAATTTGAGTTGGGTTAGTCGGATTTTTCTAGTTGTCGAACACCTTTATTTTCTAATTTTTTCTAATTTTATATAAAAAATTAAAATCAATTAGATTTCAAGGATTAAACCCAATAACAGAATCGAAACTTTTAAACAACCAAAATGGAATTAAAAGGAATATTCAAAACAATAGATATTAAGCTCGGATATTGAATATCATATAATTCACAACTACATACCTACGTTAAGAGAAAAGTAATAATATAACACGTTTATAGTCGAAAATCACGAGAGCGATTTTAACAAATATCATACGTATTGATGACTAGAATCAGTACACTATTTTATTTTAGTTTAATTTTATTTCTTCCACCCCCTCCCCCTCCCATTTTCTTTTAACTTTACCCCTCAAATTCCCTAAATTACTTAAATAACTTGAGAAAATAAACCTTTACATATATCAAAACAACCCATTTAACACACAATATTATAAAGCTTTTAAAAGAAAAAGCATATGGAACTAAACCCTAAATTAATATATATATATATATTTTTTTTGTTTTTGATAAAACCCTAATGAAAAAACAAAAAAAAAAAAAAATCATTTTTTTCTCACTTAAACCAAAAGATCGAGTTTGGATTTCGACGGATCTTCTCTCTCCTTTTCGCCGTTCTTCAAATTTTGATCGGGAGAAGAAGAAGAAGAGGGAGATTGGAAACATTTGGGAAACTGATGAGAAAACTCGGCCAACATTTGAACCACTTCTCTCATTGTTGGTCTTTCCACGCTGTTCTCTTGCACACATAACATTGCTATGAAGAATAAGTGTTTTGCTTCCTCTTTAGGCACCATCCCGATCCTTTTGTCAACTATGCAAATAATGTCGTTTTCATTCTCACCATTTGTTAGAGCTCTTTTGCACCATTGTGCTATGTCAACCACTCCGTCCTCGAAATCTCCAACTGGACGACGACCCGTCAAAAGCTCTAATAGCACAACTCCAAAACTATATACGTCACTTTTCTCGTCGACTCTCAATGTGTACGCATATTCTATAATGATACATTAAAAAAAGTGTATCAGTATCTATATCATCGTCATTTATAAAATTAAAATTGAAAAATATTTATAAATATAATAATAATAAAAAAAAAAGATAAAATTCAAACTTTGGACAAAGTTAAATTGAGTGTTTTTTCTTCAAAACATAATTTGACCAACTGGTGAAACCAAAGTTCCAGTGGTCACTGTCAATCACTGCCCTTAGATTTTCATGGCTGTGACGATCGGACGGCTGGCATTGACTACTAATTCAATTACCATGGCCCACCAAACGAATTTTAGTAATTAACTAACTTAACTAATACTGTAACGACCCAAATTGAAAAAGAAAAAGAAAATAAATATGAAAATCGAAAAAAGCAATAGAAAAAAAAAAAAGAAAAGAGAAAAAGAGAAAAAGAAGAGAACGTACCAGGAGCGATGTAGCCGTAAGAGCCGGCGATCACCGACATGCATTCCGACGCGCCGCCCTCGAACATGAACTTCGCCAGACCGAAATCGGCGACGTGAGCTTCGAAGTTGGAATTCAAGAGAATGTTGTTCGATTTCACGTCTCGGTGGACGATTAGTGGAGAGCAATCGTGGTGGAGGTAGCAGAGACCTTTGGCAGCCTCAATGGCGATTTTGCACCTCAAATTCCATCCGAGAAACGAGGCCTTTTTGCCGTGGAGTGCTTCGCCTAAGCTTCCGTTCCTCATGTATTCGTATACGAGGAGATTTGTCTCTTTATTGGAGCAGAATGCGAGTAATCTGACGATGTTTCGGTGTCGAATGTTGCCTAGGGTTTGGATTTCGGCTCGGAATCCATGGTCGTGACTGTTAGGGCCAAATCCTAGGAGTTTCTTCACTGCGATCTCGACTCCGTTCGGCATTTTCCCGTGGTAGACAATGCCAGCGCCGCCTCTTCCGATCACGTTGCCGTCTTTCACGCACTCCAATACGTCGTAGACGGTGAAATCGAGCTTTTGGAATGAGGTCATTTTCCATGAACTCGATCCGTTTCTTTTGAATGATTTCGCTTTGACTACGGCCGCTATGGCGAACACTAGAGAACAAATCAGCAGGCCGAGAGCGAAGATTAGCTTGAAGTACGCCGGAGTTTTTCCCGGTTTTGTCGCTGTTGTTGCGAAGTTGCAGGGATTGTTGAGGAGAGAGCCGCAGAGTTGAGGATTTCCGGCAAAGGATGATGCATTGAAGAAGGCAAGTTGTCCTGATTCCGGTAACTTTCCGGAGAAATCATTGAAGGAGAAATCAGCAATCGTAAGGCTCTTCATTGCCCCTATTGATTTCGGTAGGGATTGATTTAGATGATTTCTCGACAAGTTGAGGTAATTGAGAATATTTATATTCGAAATTTCAGGTGGAATTGGGCCAGAGAGGTTGTTCTTGCTCAAATCAAGGTAAGTGAGATGGATACAATTCCCTATTTCAGGAGGAATTTGACCAGAAAGTGTGTTCCTGCTAAGATCAAGCTTTAGAAGTTGATTGAGTTCTCCAATGGAAGGAGGGATTGTACCAGAAAACTGGTTGCCATTGAGGAGGAGAATTTGCAGAGAAGAGAAATTAGAAAGTGAAGATGGTAAAGTTCCTGAGAGAAGATTGTTAGAGAGATTAAGTTGCCCTAATTTGATGGGTTTTGATGAACTCTCCCAATTTTCTGAAAGTGTACCTGAAAGGTAATTGTCCTGAAACTCTGCTAAATTTAGTTGAGGCAAGTAAATGAAGCCATTGGGAATGCTTCCATTCAGATAGTTCTGCCCCAACCTCACTTTTATAAGACTGGTACATGTCCCCAAACCATCAGGGATTGGTCCAAACAGGAAGTTGTTCATCAGAATCAGTATTGTCAGCTGATTCGATGAACACAAATCTTGCGGTATTATACCCGTGAGCTTGTTTGAAGACAAATCGAGGAGCCGAAGCCTCCCATTTTGGCCAAGAATCTTCGGGATTGTGCCGGTAAAGTTGTTCATCCACAGTGCCAATGTCTCCAAGTTTGGTAAATCTGCTATGTAGTCTGGAATAGATCCGTGCAGTTTGTTGATGAAGAGGTTGTAAAGCTTGAGCTGTTTGAGATTAACAAACTCAGATGGGATTTCTCCGGTGAGTGCATTGTTGGAGAGATCGAGATAGACCAAGTTTGTCAAATTTCCTATCTGCTTCGGAATCGAACCGAAGAGTTGATTTGTATACAAATATAGTGTGTTCAAGGCCTTCAAATTCCCCAGTTCATGAGGAATTTGACCATTCAAACTGCAGTCTGTAATCTGCATGATAACCAAATTGACCAACTTCCCAAGCTCAGGTGGAATCCCACCTTCGAAAGCATTGAAATGACCCAAGTAAATTTCTCTCAAATTCGTGAGATTTCCCAGCTCTTCTGGGATTTTCCCAACCAAATTATTTCCTTCAAGAGAAAGATATTGCAACTCTTCGAAACTGCCATAGCCCTCAGGGATTTTTCCATGGAAATAGTTACCTCCAAGGTCCAAGTATTTGAGGTTCCGTAAGTTCAAAATCTTAGTGGGGAGCTGAGCAGAGAAGTTGTTGTCATAGGCATCGAACACCTCCAAGTTCGGCAGGCTCGAGAAGTTCCAGTCCAGAGTCCCAGTGAACTGATTGGTTGAGATGTTGAGGAATCGAAGGTAACTCAAATTCGCTACTTCAATGCCACCAGAGAAGTTATTTCCTGCTAAAGACAACTCAGAAAGTTGGTCAAGACTCGAAATCAATGGTGAAACAGAGCCACCAAGGTTCAAATCTCTCAAGTCAACCGACACAACTCGTCCATCAGTGCACTGAATCCCGACCCACGTACAAACTGAGCTGAAGTTTGAGGCATTCCAAGTGCTTAGTATAGCAGAGTCAGAGAATTGAAACCCTTGTTTGAGAGCAAGCAAAACATGGAAATCACTGACCAAACTGTGGGAAGAAGAGGAGCCTAGAAGAGACAAGAATGTAAAAACAAGGAAAAACATGTTTTTCCCGAAATTGTTTCAAGGGAATTGAGTTTGGAAGTACAGGAAGGAAAAACCAAGGGCCTTAAGCAGCTTTGCTATAATATGTTCTTCAGCAAAGTGAGGAGGAGAAGACAGTGGAATAATACGTTGAACTTCTTCAAGTGTACTTGGGCTCAAGGAATCAAACATGTTCATAGTAAACGAGTGTTCAAATACAAGTAAGAAAAACTAAGACCCTCCTTTTTTTCTCCTCTTTTGTTTGCTTTTCTTTCCTTTTCGTGAAGATGCAATGTTGAAATTCTGCTACAAAAATGGTTTCTTTGCTTTCTGGATTCCTCTATGCAAGTTTCTTTTAGCAAAGCTAGGAAGAAAAGAGGTTGAATGAAAGGAAAGAGAGAAGATGGCTCTGTAGATAGACAAGTAGCTAGCAAAATGCAAGTTAAAAGATGGCCGTTGGATAATAGAAAGATCAAATGCGGGGTGGGGAGGGAAAAAGAACTGAAAAAAACAAAAAAGAGAGAGAGAGAGCAAAGTTAATGCTTTGTTTCCTTTCTTTATTCATATGACAAGAATACCCTTCAGCTTTAATTAAAGGATGCTCTTTATTGCTTTGAATGAATGAAAGAGAGAGAGCTGAAGTGAAGGATTTGCACTTTCCATCAATAAGAACAGTTCAGTCCTCAAGCTTTTGGTAAATGACTCTTGTGTGTTTAGTTTTGTCTCTTCCTTTTTTCTCTGAATACTAACCAGGAAACTCAGGGCTGTACTGCCCTCTGTACATTATAGGCCTCAAACTCAAGCTCACCCATAATGTCACTCCCACATGAAGTCCTTGCGTCCCCAGGACGACATAATCTTAACTCGACATAACCATCATTGTGATGGTTTCGTCCAATAATTTCTCTTCGAAAGGGGCGAATCTCGAGAGTGAGAGAAACATAAAACTTTTTTAACCCAAGAATCCAATTATGCC